CCACCCCAATCACAGAATGGAGGCGAAAGCTTGATGCAAATTGCATGAGGCTTTATTGTAGTTTAACGAGCTAACCCCATGTTTGCTTGGGTCTTTGATCCACCCGCCATGGCTGATGTCTAGCAAAGACAGTTTGAAGCTGTTTGATCTTTATAGGGCAGCGTAAGGGGAGTGTCTAGGGGTATGCACAGGTTCAGGATTGGTGTGCCTCCAGGCTTGGAGGGTTTGCCCTGTGTTGATTGGTCAACTGGTTGTTATGGCCCATAGGCCCTCCTAGGGTGGTTGCTATGCTCTCTGCGTCATTGCTGTGTGCTTGGCCGTAAAGCACACCCAGAGCCATAAAGCATAGCACCACCAGCCAACTTCTGATTGGTTCCTTGTCACAAGGCAGGCATCTGACTTTCTAGTGACTAAGACAAGGTCATAGAGCATGTGTTCGGTCGTTATGGCTGCCAAAGGGGAAGCTGGTCCCTTCAGCCTCAAAAGGCTTAGAATCTAATTTCCATTCCTCAAAACCTATGAACACACCTACATCTATCTGTGCACTTAACACGTGTCGCTTTTCTTTGACATTCACTACCATAGCAACTTTAAAATGTCTGAAGCAAACTTCTGAAATCCCTCACCGACCCCTTGGCTCTCAGCCTTGACGAATATTCTTTCCAGATCTTCTCTGTGCACACACTTGATGGTGGCTCAATATAGAGATCTGGAAATAATGTGTGGCAAGGCTGAGAGCAAGGGGTAGGTATGTACATGCCCAAGGTAAAAAAAAAAAAAAAAAGTACAACAGTAAGGTATCTATGTACCAGGAAAGGGCCCCCACCAGATAAGAAATCTTTTGTTGCCATGACCTTAGAATTCCCAGCCTCCAGAACTGTTAGGATTAAGTACTTGTTATTTACAATCTACCCAGCATACAGTGTTTGTTACAGCAGTGCAAGAGAACTAAAATGTGTTCCATTCCCATTTGACTTCATGTTCTCTTCCCATTTTTCCCACCAGGAACATTCTCGCCTCAGCCATTTACCTGGCTGACATCATCTCAACCTCAGCTCTTTGGTTCAAATGTCAGAAAGTCTTTTCTTCCTTGACTTCATAAAGTAGGTTCTCTCTTGATCACTCTCTACTTAGGCCATTTGTACTTCTTGAAATTAATTTGTTCATCTGTTTACCGTCTATTTCCTTCCACTGTAATATAAATTACAAGACATCTAGGCTGTTGTCTGCTATGTTTGAAAAATGTCCACCACAAAGTTGTTCTATGAAACACTTGTATTTACCCTATAAAATATTTAGAGTTAATAAAACATTTCTCAAAATAATGAATCTTGATTAAACAAAGCCGTTTCTCTGGTGAGGTGAAAGCAAATCTGAAGAGGACTAATACATGAATAAGTATTAAAAATCAAAATATAAAATGTAAGCATGATTGCAGGAGCCAAAGAGACAGAACAAAAGTTAGAGGAAAACTAAGGTTGTAGGTGGTACACTGCCAAAGGTAGAAAAGCATGCTTAATGCTTTTCAAGAGACCCCTTTCAGAATCAAACAAATACTGGATGTCTCAAGAAAATGCAAATAATGGCTGAACATCCTTAATCTGAAAATTCAAAACTGAAATCCTCCCAGTTCCAAAATTTTCTGAGAAACAACATGATTCTACAAATGGAAAATCCCATACTTGACCTTACTAGAGTGGACAAAGTCAAAAACTTGGTATTACATAAAATTACCTTTGAGCTTTGTATATAAGGTTCATATGAAACAGAAATGAATTTCCCCCAAATTTAGATTTGTCCTCCATCCCTGAGATGTATCATGTACATGCAATATCCTAAAGCCCCCAAACTCAGAAATGGCAACACTTCTGATCTTAAGCATTTCTGATGAGTGATATCTAACCGGCATACACAAAACCACTTCAATATTGCCTAACACCAGGGCCGGTGAGATGACTTAACTGATAAAGGCACTTGTACCTGAACCTGATGACCTGAGTTGATCCCCGGGACCCATACAGTGAAGGGGCAGAACCAACTCTCACAAGTTGTTCTCTGATTTCCACATGTGCACTGTGGCAAGTGTACACCCTGGCAAGGTGGGATTTTCACACACACACACACACACACACACACACACACACACACACACACACACACACACACACACTAAATTGTTTTTTAAGAAAAGTAATTCCCTAAAGTCTTTGCAAGTGAGGAAGCCCTACAGCATAGAAACAATTAAGACAAACTAATGTTGATTAGTGGAGGAGGGAAGGGGGAAGAACATGAGGAAATCCAGGTAAAGAATGTGCACTATATTCTGACAGAAGAATAAGAAATGCAAAGATAAATGAAATTTTAAACAAGGGGTAAAAAGTCTGAGGAACCTCCTATCCAGTGGGACTTTAATTTTTCAGTGAAATAGAAATTAAGATTATATGTTTAAAAATATCATCAAAAGGTTGGGAAGCATATAGGATCAAGATACAACAATGTATGTATATGAAATGCCATCATGAAAGAGACTATTTTGTATCTAATTTTAAAAAGATAGTCAAAAATGTATCATCAGGGTCAAAAAAATACAAGTATAAGGACCAGGGTTCAGATCACAGCATCCATGTAAAACAGACTAGGCATAGCAGTGGAGTGTGTAACTGTAATCCTAACACTGGAGAAGCAAGGGACAAGAGGATCCCTGGGACATGATGGTCAGCCAGACTAGCTGAACTGACCGGCTCCAAGTTCAGTGAGAGGCACTACCTCAAAAACTAGGTAGAGAGGGATTTCAGAAAAAAACTCGATGTCAGCTTGTGGCCTCCACACACACGTTTACCCGTGCATATAGCACATATCCAAGCACACACATAACACACCAAGTATCATTACTCTTGAGCAAACTGAGATACATACTATGTATTTGGCAAATGTCTATTTATTATATTGGTACAAAAATTGAAAATGCTGGAGGGTTTCTATTCAATTCTGAAACCTGATTCTGCAAAAGCAAACTAGGGTTAAGTCTTTGTTTTCTTTTATTATGATTCTCTCCAAAAGTTTAGATTTACACATTCTTCAAAAGTAGGGCTTGGGGCTGGAGGGATAGCTCAGCCATTAAAGGCTAGGCTCACAATCAAAAGTAGGGCTTGAATTGCCTACCATAAGATGTGGAAAACCATACAAAAATATTATAAATGTTGTGTTTGTATTATGACAAAAATAAGCATGTTTTGAGAATTCACTTCAAACAAAATATTAAAGCCACATTCAAACGTTCCTTAAGGGTAAAAAAAAAGAGAGAGAGACAACAAAACTTCCCAGTCATTAGAATCCAACCTCCAAGCTCATCTCCTTTCTACAATGCAGTCTCTAGAGTAAAGAAACAGTTTGTATCCTCAATGCAGCATGAAACAATGGCCTTAGGAGAGGTAGTGTTTGTTTATCAGGACCTCTTAGAAACACAAGAGGGCTAGCTGTTTTCTGAAGGCCTTTCTGGACCAAAGGGATTTAGTAATACAAAACTAAGACTAACAGTGTAACTAAAACAAAAAGAACTACCTTTCGAACTGCCTCCCTTCAAAACATGAGATTCGTAATTTTAATATCCATAACCATGTCAAAGAGTATTGCCAAATACTGGGCTACAATAGCGATTCTTCTTGAAAAGTAAATAAAGCATGTTTTTGAAACTGCCATTAAATAATATCAAAATTTAGGATTTGAAAGGAATTGATGTAGTATTTATCTTCTTATCCTTCTCAATAAAGATCGAAGGATTCTGTTCATTGCTCAATTAAAATATAATTATGTTTTTGTTCTTGAAGCAGAGTTGAATGTCATAACTCCCCTTTATACTAACAAATAATCTTTTCTACTTTGAAATTACGGTGACTTTATTTCCTGAAAGTGAACAAAAATGTACTCGAATTTAAAACGACGAATACTGTGGGACACGTAGATCTGCAGCGGGGGACGGGAGGGGGGTAAGAAAACACAGAACACTGTCCACTTGTGCCAACTTTTCTTAAAGTCTAAATCCTTGACTGAAAAGACATATATAAATACATATATGTTTATGTGCATATACTTGGGCGTTTTTAGGTATCAAGCGCACGACGGCCGCCTATTTGAGACTTAAATAACTTTTTCAAACAAAAGCTTACCCTGCCCTTTCCTCCGTACAGTACTCTAAAAGAAAAGTATGAGATTTTCATGCAAAACCTCAACCTCTGCCTTCACCTGCCTCCCTGTCTATAAAGAAGAGACCGAGGAGACCACGGGGCCAGGAAAAAGACAGGCTGGGTTTCCAAGTGCCTCAGCTTCACTGCACAGCGTCTCTGAGCAAAAAGCCTCGCAACAACCAAGCTGAGGCAGGAAGCGAAGCGGTCACCATAGGAACTGGTCTCGACCCTCAACTCCCCAGAAACTAGGAGTCGGGTTTGCTCCTGGAAGCCGTCGGCTACACGCGACGCAGCCGCTCAAGCAGCGGTGCCCACCGGGGCCACCGTCAGACCCCCCAACATCCCTCCCCACCCTCTTGCAGCCGCCCCGGGGTGGGTCTTCTGTAGCCCGGCGCACCTCGGTGGCTTCTACCTGGAGCTCTGGAGCCCTCCCCCGGCCTCCCGGGCCGTCGTCCTCCCGGGAGCTCATCCCGGCTACTGACGGCCGGCCGCCCGCCCTGCGGGACCTCC